CAGCCTCTGTTTATTGTGAGAATCATACGGAACACACAAATACACTGTGTGGGCAGAATGTGGAGACTTTATATATAAGAATTCAGTCCGTACCTCACAGGAAACACATTAAGTCTCCTCTACAAAGCCCAACCGGTTAATGCTATTTAGGGAAACAGCCTCTGTTTATTGTGAGAACCATACGGAACACACAAATACACTGTGTGGGCAGAATGTGGAGACTTTATATATATAAGAATTCAGTCCATACTTCACAGGAAGCACATTACGTCTCCGCTACAAAGCCCAACCGGTTAGTGCTGTTTGGGGAAAGAGTCGCTGTTTATTGTGAGAACCGTAACAAGTTACCGTGGTGCTTTATGCTTTAAATGCCGCGCGCCCGGCTGTTTCCTTGCGCGAGTGTCTGGGCACGCACAGCGACCCACAATCCCACAGCCGCTGGGCATTCTCGTATTGTGTTGCGAGCTCTTGTTCACATTTTCTCTTTGGTTTTTGTTACGTTTGGGAGATTAGAAATATTTAATTCGCTTGGGACATTTCTCGCCTGACTCGTGACTGCAGCCATCTGTCTGTCGCCGGACTCGGGTTTCTGCCTGTCACGTTTTAAAACTGCATTTAGTAAAGAGGAGCATGTGCACCAGAATGCGCTACATTTCTGTTCTTTGTTTAGCTCAAGGTACCGAGCGGATTGACATGGCGGTCGTTCCTCGGTTCGAAACTCTGTCTGGGATTTTTCAGTCCCTGAGTACATTTGCTAGGATAATACCTTTCATGAGGCCAGGCCCGTGTTCTTCATCAGTGACGCTATGGCATACAGTGTAAGTATTGGCGTCACGGAGTCTTCTCGAGGCACTGGGCGGAAGTGGCTGCATTTCTTGAAGATTCCTGTCTATTGTGTGACACCGTATATCCCGGTAGAAAGGTGCCAGTGTTTCATTATTAACCTGCCGCCTCGATATTTATGTTACCCTGAATATGGAGGAAGTAAAATTCTGCGACACTGTGCGGCGTTATACCCCCGAGGTCGGTAATCAAATCTCACATGGATTCATCTGGCTCAGGTCAGGGACCAGTGGCGCGCTCTCGTCAACACGGTAGTGAACCTTCGAGATCTGTAATGAGTACAGGGTTTGGTGACGTTGCAAGTTCTCTAATCCATATGCGGAGTTGAGTAACTCACTTCGTTAATCTTTGAAGTCTATGTTGTGGGTAAATTGCTCCTGGTCCTCGCCAGCACAGTGGTTCTGGGTTCCGGGTCCCGGGTCCCGCGAGTCTCGTGACCATATTTTACTGTCATATGACTCTGGGAGTCGTGCAAAGACTGAATTTCTTTTAAGTCACATGTAAGAATCCAGTCCGTACCTCACAGGAAACACATTACGTCTCCGCTACAGAGACCAACCGGTTAATGCTATTTGGGGAAACAGTCGCTGTTTATTGTGAGAACCGTACGGAACACACAAATACACTGTGTGGGCAGAGTGCAGAGTTTCTACAAGCTGAAGCAGGCGGTGCATATAAGAAAGAAGACGGCGCAGGTCCACATGAGGCAGCGTGGGAACTGTCCAGCAGCCAGACTGGCAGAAGAACTGCACACGTTGCGAGCAACAGTGGTCTATACAGTGGACTGCAGACTGACAGGGCTATGGAATATGAACACTTGCCACTACCGGGAGGCATCACACGTTATTCGCGTGTTAAAATAAAGAACGATAAGCTGATAGGAGATGTGGCACGCATTGGATATATATGTGAAATGCATACAAAGTTTTGTTCGGAAAAAAGGATTTTGGATAATCAGACGCAGACCGAGGCACATTTGAGATATATTCTGTCCACACAGTGTATTTATCTGTTCCGTATGGTTCTCACAACAAACAGCGACTGTTTCCCCAAACAGCATTAACCGGTTGGTCTCTGTAGCGGAGACGTAATGTGTTTCCTGTGAGGTACATACTGCATTCTTACAACAAAGAGCACTTCCTAAACCCTTTACCTTCTTCGCTTTAAAAGGAGGAGAATAATCTGCTGCCCATTCTCGGAATCGAACCCCGCCCGTAATCTTTTTGCTGTAGGGACGGAGCTTGTAGACGAAATACAAATGAGAAATTAAAGTCAGATCCCCCTCCCCAAGAGGGGGCAAGTGACACGAGGTATAACGAGGGGTTTCGTAACTTGTGCTCTTCGCCAGACATCGTGGACATCGTGAGGTGGTCGGGGCCGGGCGAGTCATGTAGCAGGAATGGGGGACAAGGTGTGACGGTGCGGGTAGCATAAACATTGGCGGGCTGTTGTGAAGGCGGGAACGAACCCTCGAGTTCCATAAAAGCCTTCGTCTAGCAGGTTAGTGTAGCGGTAACGTTCAGGACTTGTATTCTGGACGTATGCGTTTGCAGTCTCGGCCGAGATACGGGCTAGCGTGACTAAAGGGTTTCGTGGTTTTCTTCAGCCCGTCCATGTAAATTCCCATATAGTTCCTCATTTACGTCAGCCCCGCTTCCTTCCAAATTGCTTCCAGTTCATTGCACATCATTCCGCCCTCTGTAGAGCAACCCACAGCGTACATTCATGGGGGGGGGGGTCACAGAGTTCAATGAAGTACGTAACCCCCCGTTGTGTGCCCTCCTCGGGGCTGTACGGCTGTGCCAAACGCCTGAACCAATTTGGATGACGTCATGTAGCGTTCAGTAAGCAGTTTCGCACAGATCGCACGGTGTCACTTGCCTGTTCCACGCGTGATGGGGTTTCAGTTCACAATTCCGGTACCAGTGCCCGTCACTTTCTCTTCCCGTGGTGACCTCTGACCTGCAGGCTGTGTGACGTGACCTCACCCGCACAACTGCGCCTCGCGTTCATGTTTCCATTATGATTTTGACAGGAGGGTTGGTGGAAAGTTGTCGGAATCAGGGAACGGTTTCTGCATGCTTGCACCTGTCATGGCTTGACTCACCTCTCTGCCTTGTTCCTCTGAAGTATTGGTTGCTACCTACCAGACTACACGGTTTGACACGCAGGAAGCATTCTGATGAGAAAATTATCAAGTCTTATGGGATAAGACGCCAATTGTCTGGTACATATTCACCTGTGTTTTGAGTGGATCTGCTGCCTCCATCATCAGGGCAAAAGAAAGTGCAAGGATAAGTACACGGCGTCATGTACCAGAAATGAAACTTCACGGCCGAATGGTAGTGTTGCCGCTTCATATTCAGAGGTTGTCGTGTTAAGATTCCGGCTTGGAGACGATTTGTGAGGCGTCGAGGCTTCCACATTTTCTAGACATTCGGCTCACAGATGGCGGTGAGGTTGTCGGCCCTACGCACCGGCCGCGCTTTACTCCCCAGGAAAGTTCCTGGTAGTCATTTCTGTTAGAAGCTGAGTCGACCCCAGGGCCATAGTGCGGCTGGAAGGATTAGGTCAATTGCAAAATCCAATGAACTCATCGGGAATCGAACCCGCAACCTTCCGGGTTACGAATAGCCACAGATTCTTATGGGGGGGGGGGGCTCAGGACATGCAAATCCATCAAAATATCTTGCTCGCTTTTCCCAGCGTCGCAGGACGTCTCCACGTCTACCGACGGCCGTGTGGGGTAAAGGACGGCCATGTGGTGTGCGCCACGGTGTGTAGAGCGGGCAGTATCGGGTCCCCCGAGTGCGGAGAGCAGTAAAAGGGAAGGACCGAGTGGAGGAGATGAACAAAGTAAAGTAAAGAAACAGAAACACAGAAATGCGAATAGGTTGTATGGATGTGAGGATGAAGTGACTCCGTTTAGTCTGGCACTTCTTCCAAACTATACAGCGTCACACGTGAGTAAGTGTTCTCGATGTATCCGAGCAAATGCCGAGGCAGTACACCGACTCCTCCTAAATCCCTTCCAATTCATTATTCACTAGACATGCTTTCATTCGCCGGTAACGACGCTCCTCGACGTCTGTTGGGCGCGGTAGCACTGTGCCAGGTGCGTCGCCTCTTGAGGGCGGGGACATGTAGCATGCGTGGGACGTCATAAATGCATTTTAACATGAAGGTAACATACCGCTGGGCATAGGTGGAAGAATAATATTAAAGTGAATCGTAGATAAACACTTATCTGTCTCGGATAGAGAGCAGAGGTGGACTCTGGTGAACACGGTAATGAACGTTCTCGACTTGCTGAGCGACTGTTAGCTTCTCAAGAAGCCCAAAGAAAGAACCGTTCTCAGTGCCGAGTCTCACGAGATATGTTTCTGTAAGCAGCGCAGTGGCCACTGTCCTGTCCTCCGCTGTAGGCAGCATCGGGTGATAGGGTGATTGCTGAATCGTGAATGGGAAAGGATTTGGAAGGAAGCGCTCGTGGCCTAATCGAGTTACTCTTGAGACATTTGTCTAGAGTCACTGAGGAAAACCATAACAGAAGGGAGCACCTCCCAAATACGAAAATTGTCTGGAGCCCTGACCGCTGTGCCAACAAGCTCGGTAAACCAGTCTCGAACCATGGCTCGTTGAAACAAAATAGTTGGAAGAACGAGGCATATGTTCCTCCGAAACGTCGGTTCGCGCCTGCCAGAGTGGATGGTGTCATGACCCAGAAGGACCGCAATGCGAATGCTGACAGGTCCTTATGATACATTGTCCTTGACGACTGCTTCCTTCCCGAGTGTGGCTCCGCGTTGTCTGGTAGAAGAGTACCAGCGTTTCGCAGGAAACTGCTGCTTCCATCTTCGCGATTGAAGAAGATGGACGCGGCAGGTGACATTACTGGCGACTTGAGAAGCCTCTACCTGATACTCGCTTCTCTGAGTGTCACACTTCTCACTGCACGCAGAGTGCTGTCGTCTGCGATGTGGTCCGGTAGATTTACAGACATTTCAGAGGAATGCACTGCCTCCATCTTCAGGGTTGAAGGAGCGCTGTTTGCTTCTTTGCTTTTTATACTCTTCCACCCTGAAGACGGAGTCATTGTCTGGAAAGTACCAGGCTACGTGGCGTCACTGCTTCTAACCTCACATTTTCTGTTTCAGGCCTGAGCCCATGTGACAAGCGTAAGGCAGACATGAGCGGGCGTAGCCCCGGTGTGAGAGGGGGACCTGGGCCTCCCGCGGGGGGCGCAAGGTGCCTCTTCATTCTGCAGCGATGTCTGGCCATCCAGCTGCAGAAGGTGGCCCTGCTCTCGGAACAGAGAAAGCCCTCGAGGGACCACGAAGGGCCGGAGTACTGGATGTACGACAGTGGCTACCTGCTGTTCCAGGTGAGGAAGTGGTCGCAGCCTGATCGGAACACAGCTCAGGGTAGTCGCTGTCCTGGCTGTTGAATAACATGGAGCAGTCTTTCTTGAGAAGCTAATAGTTTCTCGGCAATTCAGATAGCTTCCCGCCCTTCGGCAGACGCCAGGGCCCATTACTTGTTGACAGGAGCCAGATGAATCCAATCCACACCTTACCTGTTTAAGACCACTTCCAATATGACTACCATCCGTTCCAAGTTCTTCCAAGAAGGTTTGCTGGAACCTGTTGCTATGTACCGTATTTAATGCATAAATGTCATTGTCTTCCTCTTCTGTATTCCAGATTCCAGCATAAATAAACTCTGTGCTTATGTTTAATATGGAGGTCTACCTCCACGTATCCTTAACGTCAGCACTAGATGCAACTACTCGTAAATAGCATCACGCCCCGATCGTTTTATCCCTTTGGCGCGCCTTGAGAGTCGGTCTTGACAAAGNGGGCGCTGAATGAGCTCGCAGTCAGCGTTTTGCAGCACAGCAGAAGGGGCAGGGCGGGGCGGAGGGACTGCCCGTCCCCCAGACACTGTCAGAGTGCCGTTCCGCGCCGGACTGCCGTCTGCTGGGCAGGTGCATGGTTCGAATTCCGACCAGCTGGGCTACTAGTGGCTTCTCGTTCTCAGTCATGTCTTTGGCGTCCCGGCGCAGTGGGGGGTCACTACAAAACGTGAAAAATGGAATCCATACGCTCATCTCTGCAGCGCGAGTTTACTCAGACGCTCGGCTCCCGGCCGGGACTGAGGTTTCTTCGTGGATTTCCCCAGTCCCTCCAGTTGGTTGTCGGTTGTCGCATCTTTTCCGGTTCCTTATTGGCCGATCTCACCTTTCAACGCTGTACATTCTGAGCTACTGAGAGTGTCGTTAGATAAACACTAACATGCGTTTTAATATTATCCCATTATTGCGCGGATTATCTGTTTAATAAAGAGTTCCGTGGATGAGGTTTGTGAGACATGCAGCACGCATGGGAGTGAGGGTTGCACATGCAGATGTACTTGGAAGACCGGAAAGTCAGGAGGATAATATTAAAGAGATTGTGTGACGGTGTGGACTAGATTAATCTCGCTTACGACGGGGTCTGGCGGACGATGTGAACATGGTACGGAACCTCAAGATTCCAGTCTTAGGGGTTATGACGCCGTGCAGTCTAGTACGTGGTTGCCAACGTTTCGCAAGAACCTTTTTGCCTGCGTCTTCTGTATACTCGTATGATGTAGAGGCAATATGTTCTTCCAAAGTATTGGTAACCACGTACCAGACTGCACGGTGTCATAAGGTAATTTAGTCTTATAGTCAGAAATAAGGGACTGAACTAAATATCAGTTGATAGTGTTCATATTGCCTTCCCAGAAGAATCCTTACCACTGCTGTCTTACGATAATGACCTTCTGAGCGACTATCAGCATCTGAATGAGGAGTTCGCCCATCTGTCCATGCGCTCTTTAGCGGGGTGCGGAGTGCTGGGTCGGCGCCAGACAGGCGGGCGCAGTGGGCCCCGAGAATTGGCTGAGGGGGTGATGGACGCAGCAGTGGTTGCACGGTGGTTCGCTGTTCATGTTGAGTCTGCTCCTGTGTCTTTGCAGCAAGTGTTGCAGACGTTTCGATTGTACATACTACTTCCGTCTTCAGGCCCGAAATGATTACAGTGTTTGTGTGGATGTGGGTTTTGGTCCAGCATATCCATGGGGTAAAGGCATGGATTGGTGCCCAGTACGGACACTGCATAAGGGAAAATTACGAAACAGGCCTTCTTAGAGTCACCGAGTGTACCAGAAATTGTGGTGCAGGAGGTGCGTGCCCAAGCTTACGGCTTTCCTAGCAAATAGCAGCAACCAGAGTCCTCTGACTGGCTTTACACTTCCACCCGGAAGACGGAAGCGATATGTTCTTGGAAACGTTCGGCTCTCTCTGAACTACACGGCGTCACAACCCAAATCACTGTTGATAGTCACCGTTGTGAGAACCTCAGTCGGCCAAGTCTAAAAAATGTTCCGATTAGAATTTCCTGAGAGTCTGTGTAGTAAGGGGTGGAGGCCGCACCATAGCTCAGGGGGTTGTTGCCGGCTTCGAGTCCAGTTCAGGTCATGTGGGATTTGTAGTGGACAAAGTGGCACTGTATCAGGTTTTCTCCGAGCACATCGGTTTTCCCTGCCAATTCTCATTCCACCGACTGCTCCACGCTCTCTACCATCCGGGGCTGGTACAGTAGACCAGTTGGTGGCCGCAGTCTCACTCCACCCCAAGAAACAAGAAAACTAGCAAGGGGTGAACGACCGGGGTTCGGTTCCTGGCAAGGGCAAGGCAAGTGTCCATGCTGGCTCTGGGGCCCACCCAGCTTCCTACCCAATGGATATCGAGGGCTTTTTCCACGGCGTCAAACTGACCAGTCGCCTCCATCTAGTGCCGAGATCAAGAATGGTGGAGCTATACCGCCACTGCGCCATACGATTTCATGGCGTGACTAATTAAGCACAGGGACAAATTTCCATGAAGATGGGATCACCGTTCCTCGGCCGAGTTCTTGCAACGGCCCCACTTCGCCGTGATTCGTGCTGTGGGGCCGTGTTGTATTGAAGACCACGTGACTTCACGTGACCGTGCATTCGGCAGGCGGTAGTGACATCTGGTGGGATGGTCTGCACAGACCAGGCCTCTAGGTTCCGTGTGAGGAGGTTGTGGGACAGTGGTTGCAGCTGCACTGTAGGCGGGAGAGAAGGTGGCGCACTATAACTAAAGTCCTGTTAGATACACACCCTAAAATCCTAATGTCGGTTAGTGAGCTCGACCGAATTCGCTGCGCTTTCTGTTTACAGCGGCCACGTCTAGAGAGACAGGTCGTTACCCTATCCTGAGCCATATGAATCCAGTCAACTTTAATATCCACCCACGTACGGCTATGTTTTCCGTGTTGTCTTCAGTAATTCAGGTTTATAAGTGAAAATTTTGTGTACGGTTCTCATCTCTTTCGTGCTTGCTATATGACTTACCCATCTCATCTTCTATTCCGTCACCTCGATGGCATTTTGGAAAGGAGTACAAATTATGAAGGTCCTCAGTACACACTTTTCCCTGTCCTGCCACTTCCTCCCTCTCAGGCCCTCAGAATCCTGTTTGCGAACACCCCCAGAGAAATCATGTTCCACACCCGCGTGTGACCAGACACACAAATTCCAGTAAATGTGCTTTACGGCATGTAGGTAGCTGGGACCCTCAGAGAGGACACGCCGTCCGCCAGCAATGAACACATGAACAATCGGACCCCCCCCCCCCCCCCCCCNCCCCCCGCCCGCCACAAATAAACAACGGAAAACCCGCCCCCCCCCCCCCGCGCGACCCTTAAAGTGTGTCGAGACGCTAGTTCCGTGTTGTGGCCATTGGGAAGGGATGATGTGACTCCGAGTAGTAGTGCCTCCATCTTCAGGGTCGAAAAGTAATCCAAGTAACAGTGAAACGAGCCCCTTTGCTTGGTCAAGACTCGTGAACGATGAGGCAGCACGTCGGCAAACATGTACCGGACATTATTCTGCTACCGTTTCCCGTTGCAGGGTTTCCTGGAGGCCAACCTCAAGTGTTTCTGGAACGCATCTCTTCTGGAAGCGATGCGTCTGCTGGAATTTCAAGGCTATGTCGCTCCGGGGGTACTGCTGGTGACTGCTAGCGCCTGCGCATTGGAAGTCGTGCGTGGTGCCTGGGCCAGGAACGTCCTGAAACCTCCCAACAATTACGTCATCGCCGTTGTTGGTGAGTATGTGCAGCCCAGTAAATGTTTGCACTCACTTGAGAGGCGTCGGAGGGTATGTTGTATTTCTTAAAGATATTATGTTGGACTTGGTCCACTGTTGCAGTATGTTATAGGGACTGTCCTCCGGAAATTGCTTCTATCTCGGTCTGCAGACTAGAAACACCTCGTCTGTTCGGCCGCTCAGTACAGTTAGTCTCAAACTGTGGGCTTTACGTTTCGGAATTGTAATCACCTTCCGAAATATGTTGCCTTAAAAGAGTTCTGACAATGGATGAGCATGAAAACACAACTTCAGAAGACACCGTTTTTTTTATTTCACTCCAACGTACACTGTACCCCTCCCCCTTCTAAGAGTAACTTTGGGGACCAATGCATTTGAACACTCACGTTTCGGACGTGTAATGGAGAGCATTGTCTTGGGGAGCATTGAAATTGAATGTTGAATGAGGGAAACGTAATGTGTTTCCTGTGAGGTATGAACTAAATTCTTATACATAAAGTATCTGTGTTCTGTCCACAGAGTGTATTTATGTGTTCCGTATGATTCTCACAATAAACAGCGACTGTTTCCCCAAACAGCATTAACCGGTTTGGCTCTGTAGCGGAAACATGTTGTGTTTCCTGTGAGGTACGGACTGAATTCTTATACATAAAGTCTCTGCATTCTGCCCACACAGTGTATTTGTGTGTTCCATATGGTTCTCACAATAAACAGCGACCGTTTCCCCAAACAGCATTAACCGGTTGGGCTCTGTAGCGGAGACATGTTGTGTTTCCTGTGAGGTACGGACTGAATTCCTATAAATAAAGTCTCTGCATTCTGTCCACACAGTGTATTTGTCAGTTCCGCATGATTCTCACAATAAACAGCGACTGTTTCCCCAAACAGCAAGTTGGGCTGTGTAGCGGAGACTTATGTGTTGGTAAAGTTCGCTCGTCAGAGAGGGCGCACCACATTGACGAAACCGCAACTGTCTGACAGTAACAAATGTATGGCGTTAGGCCCCAGACGGGGTTTGACACGAAGACAGATTGGCCGACTCCCGTTGGTCGTAAGATGACTTTGACTTTGACTGGTAAAATGACCTCTTCGAAGAGAAGACCGCATTTCTAAACACACAAACGGTCTTGGAAGGAACTTAGTCATAGGATCCCGACGGGGCCCGAACTTTTCTGGCGAAGGCCAGGTGAAATTTACTGCTGTGCTATGCAGAGTTTAAGGCCGTGCCATATCTCAAGCGGTTAGTCGCCCGGGTTCGATCCCGGGTCTGGTCAGGTGGGATTTATAGTGGACAAAGTGGCGCTGGGGCAGGTTTTCTCCGAGTACTTCTAATTCCCCTGCCAATCTTCATTCCACCAATTGCTCCACAATCACCCTCACCTGTCATCTGGGCTGGTACAATAGGCGAGAAGTGGCTGCAGTACAAGGGACTTAGCCCCACCCCACTAGCAATAAAAAAATGCAGAGTTCAGGGAACCCCGCAGCATGCGATCCGTCACTGCGATGTTTGCAATAAGGGCACGAAGTCCAACGACGCTCTGTAAACTCGTTTCGTGTACTCAGTCGCTGATCCTGTTGCCAGGCGACAGTAGCCTACATGACCGCTGTTGCTTGCCGGCCATGACAGCCCACCGCCAGGGGCGTTAAGCTGCAGGCAGTTGCCGTTCTGTATGTACATTCAGAACGCTGTCAAGATGAAATAAGCAATTTCGTTCTTTCTGTTGTATAATTTTTAAAATGTCACGGGTTCGTAGAACAGGCCGTTCGATGCTGTAATGTTTTGCGCGTTATTCTGTTCGCATGGACTTCGCTATTCGTAAAGGAAAAGCGCGGTTCACATGAGAGGTGTCACAGGTTGCGGACCTGGATTGTGGCTGGATTCGTTCCGCGTCCTCTCGGCTGAAACACGGCAGAAGCCGGTCTCACCTAAACTGGTCGGTATTGAGAGGTTCAGTGCTGACGTCACCGCATTTGAATATTGAACCGGTATCCCCGGTGATGCAATGAGCTGGGGCGGTGATGTCACTCCCCAGATATCGCCCATCCTGATCAAGGAAATATTTTATATGAGACTTTTTTTTTAATTGCGAACTGGTTTGGCTGACTGGGCCCGTGCTCCTGTGGTGTCGGGGTGACAGCGGAAGTCTCGCGGAACAGGGTTTGCCACTGGGGGAGGGGGGTGTCCCTGCGTTGCTAAGATCCAACCGGTGTAACCCACCCCTAGCCACTTTCAGCATAGTGTGGTCTCATCGTAGGAATGGCTAGGATACCTTAATCGGTTGGTATAGGCTATATGCTTGGGCGACCCAGGAATCGGTGTTCGATTCCACGCACGGACATTGTTTTTTGTCGTGTCCGCAGCGTCCAGACTGGCTGTGGGGCCCACCTGTCCTTGTCTCCAGTGGATGATGTGCGTCTGTTTCCCCGGGGATAAAGCTGCCAAGGGCGTGAAGCTAACCACTTCACTCTTTTAATATGGAGGTAGTGGAGTTATGCCTCCAACCCCTACGTCTTCATAGAATGGTGCTTAACCAACATTCTTACGTAAATATTTGACATGGCGGAGAAGTGTGTACAAAGTTTTGGTAGGTAAAACTGAAGGAGAGAGACCATTAGGAAAACAGCCGTAGATGGGAGGATAATATTGAAGTGAATCATAAAGAAACAGGGTGTAAGATTGTGGACTGGATCCGTCTGGCTCGCGATAGGGTCCAGAGGCCCGCTCTTGTGAACACGGCAGTGAAGAATCCTCGAGCTCCAAAAAAGGCGACCGGCAATGTCGTAACCAGCCGAGCGACCTGCGCTTTGCGCTAATTCCGCACAAACAGGATATGCTTTAGGAGCGGTGATGTAGCAGGTCTGCTTTTTGTCTGTTCTGCTTACAGTGCGCAGCCCTGGGCATCACTGCATCGGCAGACATGGGACCGACTGGGGAGGCTTCTATTTGGAAGGCGCTGGGTTCAAATCACGGCCGCATCGTCGGGCGTACTGACTGGCGTTTTGGTGGGTGTTTCAGGAATAGTATTTTGTTCAGGTCATGGCCGTTTCCTTTCCGATCCTTCACAGTAAATCAGTCTCCCTCCCATCTGACTGCATGCGAGGTCTGGCAATAAAGTTCGCGGACTGCTGTGTAAAAAGAAATACGGAATACAATGAATTCAAAATTTGTTTTAGTTGAATTCAAAGCAGAAGTTTTTGAAAAGAGCAAAGGCCTCCAAAGGAAGCGCCTTCAGCATTCCGAAACCCCTTTCGTCTGAAGGCAGTTTTCACCTCAGGAAAGAGGAAATGCAATAAAGAAAATTGGGTTTCTCTTGACGAGTCTGGATGGAGCCTTGGCATTTAGGTGAGTCTCCGTTGCTTTGAGCAGATCTTCCTCTGCCGTGCATATCCATAGAGGATTTGACGAATTGTCTCCTTGCTGATGTTCAGTTCGTCTGCCATTATTCTGAGAGCCCATTTCACGTGCATTTGCGGTTGTGTCTACATTTCTAGAGTTTGAAAAACAACTAACTCACTGAGCTGTAATGCCAACTGCGGTAAGAGGCAGAGCTACACCGCGACTTGATGTGAATGCTGTGGCAGATAATCTCTGAGTAAGATTTGAGGCTTTCACGGCGGTGACTATGAAGAAAGCAGTCTTCTGGGATTTGGCACCGTGTATATGTGGTGTTAACCGACGTTTCGGAGGAACGTATCGCCTCCATCTTCAGGGTAGAAGGAAAAATATAAGAAAGCACACAGCACACAGTCTGCTTTTACCGGTTCTCACGGTCTCTCCGCTTGCAGATTTCTTATATTTTTTCTTCTACCCTGAAGATGGAGGCGATACGTTCCTCCGAAACGTCGGTTAACACCACATATACACGGTGCCAAATCCCAGAAGACTGCTTTCTTCAATCTCTGAGTACTTCACTCCTTCAGCGCGCAGTCTTGCGGAAGGAATGTCTGACTCATCCTATATTGAGAATAGTGGGGCACACGGTAGCGTAGTTGGCTGAGGCACTATGCTAAAGGCCGGGAAGGCCGTGGGTTCTATCCCCGAGGAGATCACTGTAATTTTCAATTTACCTAATCCTTCCTGCTGCACTATGGCCCTGGGGTCTACTCAGCTTCTAACAAATGAGTACCAGGAACCTTCCTGGGGAGGCAAAGGGCGGCCGGCGCGTAAGGTTGACACCCTCACCACCTTCTGTGAGCCGATTGTCTAAGAGAAAATGTGGGAGCCTCGATGTCTCACAACCCTGTGTGCCTCCATGGCCTGTTACAGGGATAGCTTTACCTTTTTTATGTTGAGAATGGTAACTATGGTGATGACGTAATGATGTACGTCACAGTCTGGCAGTGATACACTCCTGAAGATGCTACAGCAGCAGGTGTTGCTTCCTGCATTTGAGGGCCTGAGGTCGGCGATATTTTGGGATGTGAAGCGATGCATTCCGGAGAGCGCTAGACGTTTCGGAGCAATATAATGCCTCCATCATCGCTGCCGAAGAGAAAGTCAAGCAGGCAGCATTGGCTTACTCTTCGGCCCTGGAGATGGAAGCGATATGTTGCTCCGAAACCATGGACTGTCTCCGAAGTGCAAGCAGATCTCGGATGTCTTGTCTTGTCATTTTATGGCGAAAGTTCTGGCTGTCATTACTGGTCGCCGCCGCCGCGTCTCATGACGTGCTCAGACAAACGGCTGTTATGCTACATTGCCTGCGTTTAGTTGTTGGTTGGTAAACCTGAGGCGGGCGGCCATTGCTTTCGGCAAGGTCGCCGCGTAGTCAGTGGTCACAGATGAACATCAGACGAAGGCGACAGTCAGTACTTCCTTCAGAGCTGAGTTCTGCTCACAGTTGTGAAGTTCTCATTGCAGTCACTGTAGTGACTGGGCTACGGGAAACGCGGCTCCATTCCCGGTCTCTTCTGAACCGCCTTAGGGCCCACACAGTCTCCTGTCCAGTGAGTATGGGGGCCCATTTCCCCGTGGACAAAGCCATCGGGCTGTAGAAC